AAGCTCTTGGCAAACAGTTTCATTTTCACTTAATAATTTACAAAAGTTCAAAGTGTGTAAAGCGGCGCCACGCTGCGTCGGGAATGTGCCCGAAACGGAAGCGGAAATGCTGCTGGAGCAAAATATGGCAGACCAAAATGGTGAAGCCATGGCAGAGGCGAAAAGTTAAGCTGCACAGCTTATGCCAAACGCAACCAGAAACTGTGCTAAAAAACTGTAAACAGTTTTTGTACTCGACGAAACCTTGAAACTATCAGCATACAGCATGAAAAATGCAGCAAAATTTGTTGCCCCTTTCCTCTTTTTCCCCACATATTTCCCCCATTGGTGTTGGGTTTTCTGTTCCTCCTTTTGGCAATTGTGATTTATTGACTTGTCCGAGCCGCAGGTGCTCCACTGCTCAACTGTTTGCGGTTTGCTTCCGCAATTACTTTTGCCACTTGGAACTGTTGCCTCTTTACTGTTTACATAGAATGCTGCCAATAGCTTTTACTGTCCACATCCGGCAAACATAATTTCACATGAACTTGGCTGAGCAGGAGTTTTTAATTACAGGTAAATGCTAGGCATAACCATGGGCGATTCCTTTCAAATACATATACATATATACAATATATATATAAGCACACAAGCAGCCACTTAGGCGGGGCAATGGGGCAGGAGCAGGGGCAAGGGGCGTGACTTGGCATACAAACAGCTGCAGCACTTTGCCTATACACACGCATTGCGTGTATGTGCGTGTGTGTGTGTATTGGTGTCAGTGCGTGCTTCCTGGCAGCCCCAGCAGCGCTCAGTTCTCGCCTGAGCCACCACTCAGCCCCCCTCTTGGCTGTCGCCGTTGCCATCCCTGTAGCAGCCTTAGCCTCGCTCTTTTGTGTTTATCCTGCTCCAGTTCCACAGTCTGCTGCATTCATTAGACTTAGCCAAGTGGCAAGCGCCTGCACAGTATTAAATTCCATTAACAGACGCTGCCACAAACTCCGCCTTGGCCTTCTGCGACTGCAGCCTGCTTAATGGTGTTACTTGACTTGGGGGCAAATCCTATGAATATTACGATTATTATATGCTCGTCACATTACTGCTAGGCCTAAACGAGCAAAGTATTTAGCAAACCTGACTCTCCCTCTCTGTCTCTGTTAGCCACGGCTCGCTCCAGGCACAAATTGGCCAAGCTTTGGCCAAGCTGCAGCTCGGCTTCGACTCGGCACTTTGGTAAATTGCAAATTGAGACATTTCCGTTGTGCCTCGAGCAGTAACTAACATCATATCGATACGAAATGTTGATGGCATTGTCACTAGATTACCAATTGGCATGTCCGAGTGCCACAAACTCTGGCACTTGACTTAAAGCCAAGTTATTTGCGTATTTACACGTGCGACTGTTCGACTGCCCAAGGAGCTCGAACGGAAATGCATGACCAATGCTCGGCTGTCAACTTGCCACACGTCATGCCACACCACACGACACAGGGCTGTAAAAATGTGTTGCATTGCATGTGGCATGACTCATTACAACTCTATCGCTGTGTAAACTGAACCTCCAAAAATATTGTGTGCGAACAGGCCTCGGTATATAAGAGTTTTAGCAAGGCATATGCGATGTTCTATGCGCTGTGGCAGCGGGATTCGATTTGAGAAAATATTTGAAAAATTGTTGATTATGGTTAGATTATATTACTATCGAATTCGACAAGCGAGGTGAATATTCATTATAGTTTTACTCGTATACGAATTTTATAGTTATTTGTAAGAGATATTGTAGTTCAATTATTGCTAGATTATTGGCAAATTATTAATAAATAAACAGCTGGCTGGTAATATGTAATCTAACATAGTCTAGGTATGAGAGATAGATAATTAAGTTCATTTATATTCAAATTTGATATATAACTATTTCATTTTATGTTATGAAAATTCGTAAAATTGCTAGAAATAATAAGTGTACTTAGATCCACATTCATTTTATATATATTACTGTATTATAAATAAGCCAATCCTCCTTTACTATAAATAGCTGAATAAAGCTATTATCCCAGGCTATAAGGCAACAAATGACCTAAGTAGTTTAAGCTGGCAGTTAATGTCCAATCAATCAGTCAATCAGTCGATCAATCATTCTTAACGCACAGTATTATATTTCTATCACAGAGGAGCTTAAGAAATCATAAATATTTATAATATATGAAGGTATTTTTACTTTATAAAACCCCAACAATAGTATACGCAGTACTCCATATATCAGAATATTACGTGCTTTTCATCCCCTGTAAAGCCCTAAGTAAGAGTATCAAATGTCAACATCAGAGCAAATGAAATTAGCGTGATACGAGGCAATCGCATAGCGCACATTAGGGTTCTTGTAAAGACATTTCCGTTAGATTTGATTATCGTCAAGGTATGCAGGAGGAGATGTGGGCTCATAATGCTCGATTGAGCAATGGGCTTAATGCAGATATTTGAATCTTATCGCACGTTAAATTGGTATTTGCATGAACTTGACGACAATAAAGGTAAAATTGCTATATACACGAGCAAATATGATTTTTGATGGGTTCACTTCGAAGGGGTTTTTTTTTTTTTTTTTTTTTTAAGTACTTCAGTTGCATGTGCAGCTCTTGGGATTAAGGTATTTGAATTAATTTTAAAAAGTTACTTGGAGAGTTTATGTTGCATGTTGCTGCATCGTTTGGCAGCTTTAAGAGACTCACAATATTTTTAGTATTTTTTGTTTTTTTGTTTTTTTTTTTTTTTCGGCATGCGCACAATGCAGCTAGATCTTAGGTTCTATATAGATCTAAGCTTATAATATCTATATATGTTTTACTTGGCAGCCCGACAGGCCCTTCACATGCTGGGCAGCCCCACTATCGCTCCACTAAATGGCTCCATGCCGCACTCGGTATGCACTACGTTGTGTGGGTTAGTGTATCTACGTTGGCTAGACACGCACGTGATTTTCTTGTTATGGAGGGAGTAGAGATAAATGTAAATGGCTCTTGACTTACCGCGCTCGTCGACAGGTTTTTGGGTGCTTGTTGATTGTTGGTTAGGTTAGGTTTTCATTACATATATAGGATATATAGCAATTGTGAAAGAGAGAGAGAGATATATATGGCTAATACTTTTGCGACTTGCTAAGCTAATATATTGTTGATTGTTGATTGATGATTGAAGAGTGTTGATTGATGATCATCTGCTCATAGTGTGCGTTTGTGTTGATTGAAGACGTTGGCAACTTCGACGCTGTCGTTGGGGCTCAGTTTCCAGGCTACTCACAGTTCTCCTTGACTTTGGCTTACGTATGTATGTACTCTATGTATATCTCTTGGGATTTTTTTCGCATGAAAAGTGTTTGCTTTACAGTGGCTTACAGCTACTTAAGTACAAGTTTGTGTTTTGCTACCAATTCGTGGGTTTAATTTTATGTTTGTTATTTTTGTACTCTTGGCTTAAAATTTTGCATTTTACAATGTGCTCGTTAGGTGCGTGCTTATGCCCAGGACTTGGGATTGATAATAGTTGAYGGGCATAAACATGTATCGCTTAGAAAACTAGAAAATTATTGGCACTACTTAGATTTATGTAAATATGTTGTGATATAATACCGGTATACATTATATATACTGATACTAGTTTATTGAATTTCATAAATATATTCTAATATTTTGTATATTTGTTAATAGAATATGACTTATTGTTTGAGTTTATTGCTTTAGCTGAACTACAAATTCTACGATTTCAAGAGGCTATTCGTGTACGTATACTTCGAGTTAACATTAGCTGTATTTGTTATTGTTGAAGCACTAAGAACTGGATAAAACTTTCGAATATCGAATATATTGTATATTGTTCACTACTGAGTTAACTTTAAATGCGTATATATATGTATGTTCTATATCTATGTTTATGCTGTAGTTATATAAGTTTCGGGAACAACTGGACCCACAAATAGCTGTCTACTAAAATACTATATATATATTAATATATATATTGGATAGGCCCTAACTATATGTTCGTAAAATATTTGATTTGTACCACTTTGGAAAAAAGCACACACGCTGAA